AAACACCTCCTCCCCCTTAGCTTCCATTACAAGAATGTTGAAATGGAATATTTTGACCTTCTCACAATACTTCTTCCCAATTTTTTTCCCCAAAACAAAAGGTTGTGAAAATCAACATGCCTTAGAGAGTAGTTTTGGTTTGACAGAATGGCATTTTCTGATGGAAAAAAAAGCATTCAATTGGAAAAATTTTTAACCAGCTCTAGCAGTAACTCTGGATTTCACACTCTGGGCTAAATTCACAACCTTTCACCCTCTGAAATTAACTGGAATACTTGAGAAGTAAGGAACTAATCAGGGGAAAGAAACACCCTCCCTATGGTTTAGAAACTACAGGGGGGCCTACTGGAATGGATCCGCACGGGCAGGCTGCTATACGGATTCCCATGGTGTCTGCTCCCACCAGCACAATTACAGGATAAGAGGCAGATTTGTAGAGTCTGATTTTTTAATTTTTTTTTTCAAGGAAATAGCTTCTTTTTGTTTTGTTTCTTGCTGTTCTTGGCATGAAATTCATGTTTTATTGGTATGAAATGCAAGTCTGTTTTGACACTTGCAGAGACAACGCAGACAGAGAGAAACGTCTTTCTAGCCATAAACTGAAGTTTGTATGCCTTGTAAATAGTTTTTCTTGCTCATATACTGTAAAAGAAAAAAAGAAATATTGTTGCAAACACAGATAAGTTATCTATGTCTTGCTGTGTACTTTCCTCTTTCTTTCAAAACAGGAACCTGGTTCACCGAGAGCATCTCATCTTTTCACGTACTTCAACTCTTGAAGCAACAAGAAAATTGCTAAAATCTGAATGCAGCTTTGTTGCATAGCTATGACATGTTGCCTCCCATTAGGTTAGGTAAGAAATTGCTTCTCCCCAAGCCTACTGTAGAGTCAAGACGATCTTGGTGTCAATTTGGCCTGAAATGGCTCAGAACTGTTGGACTAATAAAAAGTCTGGAGGTTTGATCTGTGCTGTTGGAAAGCCATTGGCCCTACTTTAAGTTACTTTTGATCTACCGCAAAAGCTAAGATGTTCAGGGCTGAAGCCAGTACATTTTTGTCTTAGAAAAGACACAGATCTCTTATCTGCATGTTGCTCCCATATCTAATATAGCATAAATGAAACTTTCATCCTATTAGACTTGAGGCTAAAGCAGACAGGAAACAATGTTTTCTCCCTCTCAAAACTTTTAAAACCTTTTTTCTTTTTCTTTTCTTTTTTTTTTCCAATAAATCTGCACTTCATTAAGATGAATCAAAAGCCTTTAAGCCCTTTTCTCACACACACAAAGCGAAGAACTAGCGCTCGAGACTCAGGAGATGTTGAAGCCTCAAGCAGGACCAAACAGCTACATTTGTAACCAAGAGGGAAGCAGTGCTGGGGTAATCTCCAACATTGTGGCACCTTCTTGGCTAGGGCCACCTTGTTGCATGCTCACGTCCACTTGGAGCACTTGGGATGATGACCAGTGCTGACTTCTGAGCCATGCTAGCAGGCCTGGGCTAAAAATGTGCCAGGGAGCTTTCTAGCGGTTTAATAGAATGACCATATTTCAGCACCCAAGTCCATGGCACTGACATTCTGTCATTTACTGGCACAGTCCTAGTGGATCTGTCTAGAGAGTTGCTCTAAAATCTCCCACCTAAACACTCCGTCTCCAGACTGTTAGTGCTTCTGCTTTAAGTCCTGTATTAGAACTGTTGATAACAGTGGATGATCCAGAATGATACTTCGTGCTATGTCATGTTGAGGGCTCCACATACAGCCAGCTATCATTACTTAGACAAATGGGAGGCAGAATTTTACCTAGGTAATGGAAAAATCATGCATGGGCAACATAGGATGGAGTGGAAAACTAGCTGGCTATGTATAATCAGCTCAGTTCAGCTAGGTCAGTTCCAGCCCTGCTGAATCCAGATAGCTTACTGGAATGTAATTTAAGTATCATCACTCCAGTGAGCTCGCTGTCATTTAATTTATGAGAGAACTTTTTAACTTGGTATATAGCTGCTGTATGTATTTGTGACAAGTAGTCATTAGAGAGAAGCTTTTAAGAGTATTTTTTTCAAAGCTGGGACTTCGGAAATGTTTATTTCATTGGGAAACTCAAAGGGAAGCTTGCAGAACCTCACCCACACATCGTGGATTTAGCTTCTTTCTCAACAACAGAGTATGGAACAACTGTCTTCCCAGAGAATTGTATTACAGTTTTGTCTCCTCCCCCACGTGCAAGACAGTGAATCTCTCTTTGCAGATAACAGGGAGTACCTCTGGAAATGCCATATGGTGCTTTTGAATTTTTTATTTCTTGTTCAAGTTTATCCTGACTAAATCCTCTGTCGTCTTACTGAGGCTTTTCTGCTTTCCTGCCAGACGTTAATTGGTACCTGTTCCTGTACATTTTAATGCTCTCTCACAGCTGTAGTGATTAGCCTCAAGCATATTTCCTAGCTCCCAGTCCTTTCTCTAAGACTTTGACATTCCTTCAGAAACCCGACAGGGACCTTTTTTTCTAAGGCTGTGTGACCTGGTTGGCTCCCTTACTGCTAAATATTTCACTTATAAAGACATGCATTGGTATATAGTCCTTCAGGTCTGGAAATGAACTCACTGAGAGCCCAATGTTCCCCTTACTTTCTGTTTTTCAGAAAAATTGTCCATCTCTGGTCTATGGGAAGCAACCATGAGTGATTTATAAGCATCTGTCATGTGAAATGGTCTGTGGCCAAATCTGTGTACATGTCACCCCATCTTCAGAAGGACCATAACCACATCACTGATCATTTCTCCCTCTCCAATAGCATGTACAGAAGACCAGTAACTGAAAGCTTTATCAATCTGAAAGTTGACACTGAGTGGATTGCCATACTGTTTACTGCCTTTCCAAAATGTAGCTTCTCCCTGTACATTTTGAGTTACAACCCAAACAAAAACTCCCAGTCCGTAATAATGAGAATGTGTATACATGTTATTTACCCATAATTTAATATATTTTATTCGCTCAAGTCATGAGATTATTGTCTGATGAATTTAGAGTCTGAGCATTTTCTATTAGAAGACTGTTTGTGCCTTCTCAAGCATATGGACCTGAGCTGACAACCTGAGGTTCAGGCGATGATAATAAAAATTGTACTTTGCTAGACGTCGATGATTCACTCTTAAAATATGAAGCCTGATGAACTGAGAGGAAAAATAAGTGAAACACCTCTCAAGTGGAGACCACATTTAAGAAACGACATCCTGGCAACTGCTTTAGTTATTTGCTATATGAAAGTCAGGCAGAACCTCAGTCACTCATGCTAGATTTAGCTCTTTCAGTGGAGCAGAAGCATTTATTGTATGGCCATTTCCCACGGTTTCTGTGGAACATCACATCCCTTGACAGCCTCAAGTGAAGCATCTTGGCCTCCACCTGCAACCTCAGCATCATGGATTATTACTCCAGCACCAAGATGGGCTGTCATGTTGACTCAGGAGTGATCAGCTCCTTACCGCAGTAGTGGCTGAAAACTCAGTTACATCAATTTACCTTAATTGCGACTACAGTATAAATGAGGTTAAAAACTGATTTAGTTATTACTGATCCTTCTGTTTTGGGGTACATCAGGATAGAAGTTCTCACTCTAGCGTGACTACTTGTTTTGTCAGAAAATCGTATCTTCTTCATTGCTCATATTTTCAAGCTCAAAAATAACCCTTTTCTTACATTAATATGGGAGATATTTGTCATCTGTTCTTTGCAGTTTGCCAGTGTTTTGAGATGCCAAAGAGGGCTACAATATTTCACTTAGGAGAAGGTGGTAGATAAATGAGTATTTTACAATTCTTAGTATAGCTGAGTGCTAAAGCTCTTCCAGAGAAAGAGGAGATTTTATTTCGATAGCATATCAAGCAACAAGAATTCCTTACGCTGAACACTTTATGGGCACGATCCAACTATGCTTCATTTCACAATTCCTTTGTTCTGCTTTGTAGGAAAGTGTTTCTTAGTACGTGTGGTGTTTAAAGTGCGTTTATATGGAACAAATACTTCAGTCTTGTGCAGAAGTGTCATTGGATTCATTCATGAGACAGTACTGGCATTTGCAGTCTGTAAATATAGTACTGCTGTTGTCATTATTTTAGCGGTGAATTGGCCAAAAATTAAACATAGAAATCACAGCTACTGGGGGCATGTTTTACTTGTTCTTTTAACTTGTCTGGGGAAAGACATCCATGTAATACATGGCTCCAAGCCACAGCAAGCTGGAATGCAAAGCTTCCAATGTAAAATAAGAAATAGGAACATGTGAGAGGGGATTTCCTGGGCTGTTCTTGGTGCATCCTTGCTGTTAAGCAATCTTAGTCTTCACTCATCCCTCTTTCTCTCTCATGTACACACACACACACCCCATTTTTTGGTCCCCTTTACCACTCCTCAAGACAGAAAGGCAACAGGCCCCATCAGCAACATGGTTTGAGTTTTAAAAATACTTGACCTTTACATCTGGAGTGGGTTTTCCTGTCAGAGGAATAAGTCTAACTTGTTTTAAAACTCATGGAAAGGTGACATGCAAGATGGACACAGACTTCCTGTCACGTTGCAAAAACCACTTTGGTTTTCGAATCACACAATAGACAGAGTGCATCCACTGCTCTACTACTCAAAGCTACATTGCTGAAAGTGAATTCTATTTGCTTATCATTCATGCGTGATTGTGTTCTTTTTTGATGGCTTGGTTTTTGCTTCCTGGAAAGCACTTTTGATTTTCAGTATATGTAAGAAATTGTTCTTCCCCCAGGAAATGCTGACTTCACACCACTCCTGCATAAGACTGTTCTAGGCATGGTTCTGTGTTTTTCCTAGGAGCACCGTAAGGGCCCAACCCTGTATTCTCAGAGACCCAAACTGCAACTGACTCACCAATGTTCTAGATACTCAGACTATGCCAGAGGGGACCAAGAGGTCAGTCTCCGTCATTATTAGGATTTTAGTGCAGTCTAAGATGATATTAAAATTATTTTAACACTGGATTTCTGCCTTCTTTCATTTTTCTAATCTTCAGTGCTTCAGGTCTTCTGTCTTCCTCCCCCTACTTCTTCCTCCTCACTTTGTTTTTCTGATTCTGGGGTTTTGTCGTGTTGATTTTTCTATTTTTGTCGGCTTTCTGTCTTTTGTTTCTTCAATTTGTCTAACTCATGCTTCCCTTCTACTTCCCTTACCTCTCTCCTTTTGTTTTTTTAAACTCAGGACACTTTTCCATTCTTCTTTGTTTACAGATATCCTGCTTTTTCCACCCTCTTCTTGTTTGTTTCTTCATTTTGCTATTTTCACTGTGGTTGCTGGAGCTCTCCTGCTTGTTCTGATGAGTATGCAGTTAGAGATATTCTTGGTTTAAAAAAGTTTCCAATCTAAATAGAAGAGAAAGGCAAAAAAGAAGTTGGAAAGAAAGGAAACACTATCTCCATTTTACTGAGGGAAAACTGTGGCAATGAAAAAATCAGTATTTTAGGTCACACAGAAAGCCTGTAGCTGAACCAGGAGGAAATGTGAAGCCTCCCAGATTTCATTCCTTGCCTTCTTCATAATTTTGTGATTATTTTTCTCAAGTGTCTGCAGTGTAATGATTTGCAGTGTGATAATAATGACAGCGTCCACAAAGGAGCAGAATTCCTACATTACTATGGGTTTTCAAGCTTACCATAAACTTGATTACTTGATGTACACTGTATTACAAACTAATAATTATTTTAAGAAAAACAGTTTTATTGGATTTTTTTCCATGACCAATTCACATGTTATTGTGAAAGCCCACCATATAACCAACCCTGTAAGTCCTAACATCTGGATATGACCAATGAATTCTTTGGAGAAAATTGGAGTAAACCAGTTTTCCTGGTTGAAGTCAGCACCATTAAGATGAGCACTGATCCACATCCTAATAAATTCACAGAATTCACCTCAGTCTGTGTTCCAAATCTTTCCTTTATTTGAAATAGGTGTCATTATTAACAACTGCTGGTTGTTTCTGTGATTAATATTTAGCACTAAATGCAGTATTAACTGACATTTGCAGTATGTGATCTCCTGGAGGAGTTGCGAGTACCCAGACTTGCGGGTACCCAGACGTGTCTCTGGTGTTAGCTGGATATTCATCACCAGTTATTGCTTGCTTCTTACTGTTTTAACCTGCTCCAGGGAGGCCATTTGTCTCTGCATCCATTCATTTTAGGGAGATTTTGCATACATTTGTCATGGAAAGGAGCACAGAAAGACTACAGAACTTCTGAACCTCTCATATATTACGAATAATGACTAGGGATATGCCAGTATGGAGCTACAGAAAACCTGGGGACACCCACCTGCCTAGATCCTATGATTATATGGATGCCTTTGCAACAGCTGGGAGAGTCAAATGGGTACCAGCAGCACTGAATCTTTTCTCCTCTAAAAGATGAGGATTCAAGCCAGGAATTGGTGGCTGTTGGTTGAACTGAGAGCCTCATTGTGTGCCAGCCTTAGGGCAGCCACCCTGTCCAGGAACCTGCTAGTAAAGCTGCATGTTTACCTCCTGGTAGGGCATGATTAAAAGCAAACCAACCTTGCATTCATACAGGCCATCTGTCTGACAGAAGGTGAGAGAGTAAATCTCTCTGTGGCTGCCAAATTCACCCTGTACAGAGCCAAGCTTTCTGCACCTGTAATGTGGCCTTAGCCCTTCATAGGACATAACTATCATGGGGCAAATGTGGTTTTGATGTAAGTCCATTAACTTGGGCAGGCTTGTAGCAGAGGTGTGTGTGGCACTGTGTGTGCACATCAAGCCATGTCTCACTTCAGTTGTGCTTAAATTCCCCTCTTTTTCTAGTGGGTCTGTTGCTTCTGAGAGTGGACTGGGAGAACTAATCAGACTATACAAATATAGTCATTCAGCAAAGCATAAATGTGATTTAAACATATTTATGCCACCAAGGGGATTCCAGGATTAGCGTAATTGCTTTGCATTTGTCTCAGTAAATGTGATATGATGAATTCGTATAATTGCCTTGCTGCTGCACTGAGGCATAGGGTTGGGAAGGGAATACAAAGTGCAGTCTGCTGAGGCTGCCTCCATTGATGGAGAAGCTTCTCAGACAGAGAAGCCAACGCTCACATCCACTCAAATTGAAAACCAGCAAATGAGTGCAGTGACATTAAAATCAAAATTCAAACCCACCAGCAGCCTCCTAATGAAGACCAAGAGGTGCCAGAGTGAAAATGAGAGGTATGTCAAAATCTGATCTTGCAAACTGTGACGTAAATATGGAGTAACTCCAGTGAAGTCTATAAAATGGTTTTGAAATGGGCCTTGAGGAACTTATTTACAGCACATAAATTTAGACACTGACTCAGATCCCTAATTTATGATGCTACAGGCTCCATCTCAAGTTAGTAGGTACCTCAGAGGGATTCAGATGTACCCAAGGTAAATTTGTGCTCTACACTGTTCTAAAAAGACCAATCTGTCTCTCTGTTAATGGTTAAAGACAGTCTGGGGAGATAGACTTGTCACATTACTGACTGAATTAGGTGTGTAAAATTAGGCAGAGTGAAAATGCCCTGAAGTATACAGAATCCTAGAAGGAAAAAGTGACCTCCCCAAAAATTTATGGCTAATGCAAAGAACATTGGGTGTCACCGTTACATACCAGATGCCTTGAAGTCTGGAATCTGCTCCCAGGCTTTTACTATCATTAAGACCATCTTCTCTTTTAGAAGAAGATTTGCAGCTGTCAGTCCAGTTTCTCTCCTTCCCATGTTCTTGGTATTATCACTGAAGCATTAGAGCATGCTTCAGTTAGAAAAATACTTGCCATAGATCCCATGCCTAAAATGCTTGAGGCATCCTACCTGGATCCAAATGAATGTCTGCACTAAAGGCTGTACTATTTGGCAGGCTCAGGTTGTACTGGGATTACAAAAGTGTACCTGCAAGGGCAGTCCTTTTTTGATTCTCCAGCTCATATTGGCTTTCTGACTTGTACTTTCACATGCAGAGCCAAAGATGAGTGCCTGTAAAGGGGCATGGTCAATGGAGTGGGGCAGGATGCTTGACATACCAGCTATAAGCACCTCTTCAAGGCACAGTTAAACAGTTAAAGTAAAGGTGGCTAACCTAAACAGCTGGTCTCCCCTGAAATGCCTGAGTCAGGGGATGGCAACCAGCATCAGAGTAATGGCAGCTTCTTCTCTCAGCTCCCAGTCTTGGCTACTGCTGAGGGAACTTGCTCCCTGTTAACACTTCGGGGTTAGTAACCAGCTCCTTGCTGAGAGAGGGACCTGACTGAAGCCACACAGATGGGCTTAATGTGCACTGTCACACTCAATTTGGCATGTCATCAGGTGTGGCAGCACTCCTCCAGGGTCACCACGGCTGTCGTTTCTGCAAATGTTTCCACTGACCAGAGAACAGCAAAAAGCAGCACTTGTAGATTGCTGGCTCTGTTGCCAGCCACACACTGAGCTTTTTTTCATCAGAGAAAAAGAGACAGGAGTTCCCAAGGATCTTAGCACTGGACACGTTTCCAGACCAACTTACAATATTAGCTACATCACAGGCCTCCCTATGTGAAGGACAGATCTCATTTGGTAAGCTTTCATCTTCGTGGCCTCACAGATGACCTACCTGAGCCAACCTGTTGAGCAGAAGGCAGGATGGCGATGGCTTCATGATTTTGAAGAGATAAGAGGTGTTCTATTACTGTACTGCCTCTTCTGCATTGCCTTTGCAGCTCAGTGCTTTGCTTCCTGCAGATTTCCTGGAAGGTGGCCTGTATCATCCTGACCTTCTGCAGTGACAGTTTGTCAGCTTGCATCTGGAACACAGTGTTTTGGCAACAACTGAGGTTTCTTTCCTCCACACAGAATGCATCTTTGTCACGTTCAGCAAGCTGAGCTCTTCAGCCTCAGGAAAAGTCCCTTTTTGAAGCAGCTTCTCAAAGTAGTTGTCTCCTTCAGCCTTGTTTACCTCCTCATTCTCTGCATCTCCTGCAGCTGGGGGCAAAGCTGTGGAGACCCACAGCTGCAACTGCTTGGGTGATGCTGGGGCAAAATTGTTGCTGTCTGAAGGCAGCACCTCCACCAGCTTTTCCCCTGGAGCCCTGGGGATGAGCTTCCTGGCACGGAGACCTTCCAGCTCATGACAGACAGCTTTGGGTGTTTGAGTCAGCTGTTCCAAAAGAACTTGATCATGGCACAGGGAAAGAAAAATCATGTGATTTTGACATCAACCTGCGAAATCTGTGATTCACAGTTAAATTCTTCTGGGCATTCCCTGGTGCACAGCAGATGCTGTCTCATAATGCACAAAACCTGTCATGAATACAGAGGGGCATAGAGACCACCCCAGCTCTGACTACACAGCTTTGGGGAAAATCCCCCCATGTGTAAGAAAACAGTGAAGTAGAAGCTGGCTGTCTGCTAAAACAAGGCCGGGGTAGTGTGGCTAAGCGGTATCCCAGCTCCTGCAGGCTCAGCCACTGACTCTTCAGCTGTATTTTCTTGGCCTGAGACTTTTGTAGCTGGGACCTCCCACCACTCTCACATTCGAGGACCAGACATATCTGAGCTACTTAACTTGCAAGACTGAATAAGTCTGAGTACAATCAGGGCAGGGCAGCCAATGTCTGGAGCAAATGGATTACAGAGAAAGCATCATAACTTTCTCTAGCATAGCATCCATCTTCAGGATGACACATTCTTCTGCAAGGCCTGCTTCTGCTTAGGTTAAAGTCACAAACACATCAATTCTAGGCAATGTTGTTTCCATTTGTTCTCCTTTGGGCTAGGCACTGGTTTCTGAATCTTTCAGTACTCTGTATTTCTCATGCAGCATCTCTATTGCAGATGAATTATGGGACTAGATGAAGTCAAAAGCTGTTTAATTCTCTCCTCTTAGTTCAAAAGCCTTAGGCTTCCTCCAGCTTTACACCCCTTGATAGTCCAATGCATGCAACACCCTGGAGACAAATGTCTCATCAGTGCAATGACTACAAACATGGCAAAACAAATTCCGTTCTCGAAGAGTAATTCCTGATAGCTGACGGTGCACTTGCAGTGGTGTAATGAGGCATAGAATTTGCTCCAATGTGTTTTTAATACAACTAGAGAGACTTGGGCTATTTATTATGGGAGTCATATAAACAAGTCATTCAAACAAAATCCTTCTAATTTTGCAGCAGTCTAGACATGTAGTATATTGCGAAGCCATGTCTAAGGACAGCGTCATTAAAATTTTTATCCTTATTTCCAGTTCAGAGGAGAACTGAGGATAAATGTGACAGTCTGGCACCTAACATATTATCCCACAGTACCTAAAAGGAGTGTCAGAGTAATCTGAAAAGCACTTTGATTATTGCATGATAAGAAAGGTTTATTTCATGTTGGCTGTGCTGGGATAACATTGTCTTTGCTGTGTTAGGCCAAGTTTGCACACTTTCTGTGGGAACCCTCCTCATTCCAATGAAATGGGATGATAGGAAGCATTTTATTAGAGCTTACTGGAAAAATGTGCCAGAAGTGCCAAGGAGCCGGGACTGTTGTCCAGCTGGCTGAAGACAGACAATGCGTAAATTGCAAGACGTCGCGGGATTGCTGGGCTGGATGGAAATCCCCGTCTCAACTAGCGCCTCATCTCCTAAACCCATGCACGTCCCATGAAACACATGCAGACCTTCTGCACCAATCCTAAACAATGTCTAGGAAATACACTGTAAAGGTTGCCTTAAGGTCATCAGACCTTTGGAGAGATGGTGGTGTGCATGTCCTCATGCTCTCAGGGACACAGTGGCATCAGGACACTCCCACACACCTTCAGGGCACACAGCACGTTGCCACCTGCGTGGCGCTGTGAGATGGCACAGGTAGGACTATGTTGTCCCCAATTCAGGCTTTGCATGTGCCTCCTCTCTTTGATTTTTTGTATGACTGAAGCTCATCTTGAGATGTAGAGCTTAACCCAGAGCTCTCTCAGCAGTCAGTGACATCTGGAAGTGGAAAATGTCTCCCAAATATTTATGAGATATGTCAGTAATTTCCACATTGTTGTTTTCCCCTAGTGTCTAACCTGAAACTTCCTTACTGCGTTTTAACTCGTTCCTTTTTGTTTATTCATGAAGACATTTCAGTAATTAAAGTTTATGAGTAATACTTTAAATGAGGGAATAAAATGAATTTCAAGAGACAGCAGACTAAAAAACAGGAGTCCTGAGAAGAGACTCGGAAAAGGAGACTGGATCTGATGTGTCTTTTTCTGGCATAGGAAATGCCATGGTGGGGAAGGAAGGCAGAAATCTTTTGTGGGAAGAGGCAATGGAAACTGCAGCTGTTTAGTGGATGAGTGGCAGGAGTGAGAAACATAACATTACTAGGAGTCGCACGCTATGTCTGGGTGAGAGGCATTATTTGGCAAAGCCTCGATGGAAAGATAAACTGAGATAGAGGGGGATATGGCTTCTCAAGCTACTGGGAAGAGTTTCTGATTGATTGCCAGAAAGTAAATATATTAAATTATGTTCAGGTTCCATTAAGGTCTGTGAGAGTTTCACCATCAGCTTCAGCAGGATTAAAGTTTCACCCTGTGTGTTTCATTAATTGTTTTATGTTGTTTTGTCATTTGTTGTTTTGTTTTTGTTGTTTTTTTTTTGAGGGGGGAGCAGCTGCATACAATGTCAAAACACAGATAAGCTGGTATTAAAGCACTGGATCCAGATTCAGATCTACATTTCTGCGTTAGCTGAGTCAAAGAACTGAGACAAAAGACAGAGTAATAATGGCACAGTCAGATCTAATGTTAAAAGTCTTCATCTAGAAGTAGTCCAGTCCTGGAGCTCTGGTCTAGTGTGGTACTGAGATACGAGACAGAGATGACCAGAAGTGTGGATCAGATTTTACTAAAAGTTCTGAAGAAAAGTGGCAAGAAAAATCAGCAGCTTTTTGTCCTTTGGCTTTCTTTTTGTATTTCTTTTCTTATCTGTATTTGTAACCTTAATATGTAGGGGTTTTCTTGGTCACTTCTAATATCATATCAATACACTGTAATCATACAGTATCAGCTACCGTATGTATTTTAGTTTAAACTTCAGATTTTATCTTCTCCTATATATTGTCGTTTTAATACCAATGATAAATGTAAGTCATGATCCAGCAAAGTCCCTAAGTACTTCCCCTTCTGTGAGTCTATGAGATACAGTTGTGTAAATGATAAATGTTTCAGGCCATGACTAAGCTGGAAAAAATGAGGGATGGGATACGGGGAAAGGGGAAGGAAAATGGAAAACATACAATATATCATTTTCCTTTGATCTGAAATGTTTTATCTGAAATAAAGCATTTAGTGTTGGCCTTATTTAGCTCTTCCCCCCCCCTCCAAAAAATGAGGTTAACACTGAAATGTAAGAACTGTTTCAAAATTAAATGTTGACCTTTCTGTACAATTGTCCTCTCTATTTTGTTTCTGAATACAGTTTTAGTTTTTCAACAAATTGTAAATTAGCCTAGCTGTCATGTAAATGACCATACTCTACTCATAAGACCAAAAGTTAGGCAACATTAATGTGTTTTGCAACATAAAGGTGAAGTAAGAGCAAAAGAAAGTCTGCGCTGGGAAAGAAAAATACACTTTGGGAGTACAGACCAATGTGTGCAAAGAGCACATTCTAGCATGTAAACTGCCTGCAAAAGTTTCGCTAGCGTACAAACAGTCTTAACAATGTGTTTGCATTTTTCAGGCCAACAAACACTCATCATTAAATCAGTAAGGCCAGTCAAGATGTCTGTAACACAGCAAGAGGCACAGCAAAAGCAGCAGCAACAGCAGCAACAAACTCCCTTCTTGCTGACTGCAAACATCCAAAACTTTTACTGCGTTCATTCCTAGCAGGCTGTTGGGAACCATGCTATCTTCTGACCTTAATATCTTTAGCCTAGCAGAGACAAATTGTCTTCCCAAAAGCTGGTACTTTGATCACCCTCAGAAATAAAGATCAGAGGATGACTAAGGGTTTTGGGAATTGAGTTCTTGCTCTCTTTCTTGCTCATGCAGGCACGCAAAAACTCACACAAAGCCACATTTTCATATATTTGTAATTGACGCAGACACACTTCTATGAGAGGTCCTTACAGCGCACGTACTTAACAGACACATTACACAAATGTTTGCTGTGTACAGAATAATCAAGGAAACAGACTCATGTTTATTATTACTGAATCAGCAGCAGTCTGATGGATTAAAAACATCCTCTTTTTTTCCCCTCTCTCTCCTGTTGTGAAAGTGCCAGTGTTGTAAACTCTCCTTGCAAGAGAAGTGGGTGGAGATGAAGCGACTCATGACCTCCATGACCTGTGCGCTCCCAGTCTCTCAGGTTAGGTCTTCTGGCCACAACCCAAAATCCCAGAACATCAGCCACAGATACTTGGAGCCATTTGGGTTGGGAAAGAAGACAGTAAATGTCTGTTTCCGGTTCACAGGCCCCTGAGCGTCACCACATATTTTGGAAGTCTGTCTGGCTTCCTGACTTAGAAAGTCTCTTGATTTAGAATTCAGGGAGCAGCAGTGAAAGGCAGAGAAACGAGGTTTACCTAAAACCTTGTGAATTGTGAGAACATTTTATTTTCTCTGGCTTCTTATATATTTAAAGTTTCAATTCATTAGATAATTATTTTGGGGGGATATTTGTAGTAACTCCTGTTACTATAATGAATTTGGTTCTTTACACATACACTCTTTGAATTGGAAGAGATACCCTAAAATGAGTCTGAACTCTTCCTTATCCATCCAGATTTCCATTGATTTTTCACTGGTATCAGGGCTGGACCTTGAAGGTACTGTAACTCCAGACAAGAGGGTTCAGTCTATACTGAAACAGTATTTTGTTAAATCTGAAAA